GGTAGTTGGAGAGGTGACCAGGCCATAATAATAAGAGCAGCTGTGCCAGCAGCCGGAGCAGCAGTAGCCGGTGCATCACAGTAGCAGTTGCAGTAGCATGGGAAGGAGGAGGATGTGAACTTTCTTTCTGTGCATTCAGTCGCTGACTTCACTAGAGACTATTCTTGAAAGAAAGCACTGATTAGCTGAGGTCTAACCCTCAAGGCTCAGGCAATTCTTCAAAATCTCTGCCCTTCCTCTGCTCTCTACTATTTCTGTGTGAAACAGTTGCACGTCACAACCACTTCTCAATGTTCTCATAGCCTGAACCTTGCAGGGAAGGTGACCAGGAGCGTTTTATGGGTCTTATGACCCTGCAGCAGCAGCAGCAGCATGAGAGGGAAGGTGGCCAGGATCATTGTGTCCTAGCGAAATTAGACTTTGCTTTCTGCACAATTGTGACCTCTTCCATCTTTCTTCCTGCCATTTCTCTCTCTTCGCTGATCTCTTTGCTTTTTGTCTGCCACTGTGCGCAACACAACAAAAATCAATGACCACTCGAGGGCTCCTCAAAAGAAAGTTTGTTGCGTCTTTCCTGTTGCGTATCACGATTTATGGTTTTACAACTTTACATCTTGCTTTTCCTTCCTCTTATTTATTTTGCATTCCCCCTCTGTCTTTCCACATACAATCAGTGGCGTAACACCGTATGGATGCCTCTGTTATTCCCGTTTTCTCGTGTGCCTCGGCCCAAGCCGTGCTCCCTGTCCCATTGTTTGCATAATCTCCAAGGCTCCTCTACTTTTGCAGGCGGAGCTGCTTGGGAGGGGAAGGTGGCCAGGATCGGTGTGTCCTTGCGAAATTAGACTTTGCTGGGTATCAGACTTTTTCACAGGCCTTATGGCCCTGGGAAAGTCAGACATTGCTCAGGCATCCAATCTTGTTTACAGGTTGTATGACCTGTCATTTTGATTCTCTGCCATGACAAATTCATTGATTCATTGTAGGGATATTTGTGGGGAAACCAGACATTGCTCAGGCAATTGCTGAGGTATCAAATTTCGTTTAGGGGTCATATGACCCTGGGGACATCAGGCATTGTTGAATCCAATGACTCCAATCAAACATGTCTAATTTCTCCACGGTGGTGTTGGAAAAAATGAGCACCAAAAAATCGCTATGAGCTGACGCTGGCCCTCATTCAATTCCCTGAAGTTCAAAATCTTATACTGGCTCCTTTGGCCCCTTCATCCCTTCTGGTAATCGAGCTGATCGAGGTGTAGAGGAGACCAAACACTTTTATGTTGTCTTCGCCAATTCAGACATTACTACAACCAATGGTTGCAAAACAGAAACCGTTGCTTGATCCTTTAAAGTTTAATCAAAATTTACAGCAAATATTGTACAAGCCTGGCACCAGGACAAGCCCTATGAGCCAAGAGGACCATTATTGAAGCAGACGTGAAGGCAAAGCTGAATATGCTTTTGACGTACTGCACAGACGCCAAGTCACTGCAGAATTTAGTTATGCCAGTTTTTGTGATCTACTTTTTTGTGACGTCGGTCACGTCGCAGCTGTGTCTTGTAATGATTCCGAAGTTTGGATTGTCTGTTTTTGTTGCCGTAAAATAATCAAAAGCACTGGGCGATCTTCCACTTCTTTGCATCCAGTTGATCGACAATAGATTCTTGTGCCATTTTCTTTTGCTGTGCCATGATAGCTGTGTCTAATGGTTTTGAAATTTGAATCGTTTCTCCCTTGCGGTTGCAGTAAAATCAAAAGAGCTGGGAGATCTTCCTCCAGTAGAGTTCAGCTCATGCTTTTGTCGAGAAGCTCCTGTGTTGTTTGCCCATCCTCGGGTAAAACAGAGGCGGCGGCAGGGAGAAGGGGAGGGAGAAGTGGAGGGAGAAGTGGAGAGTTTGCGGGAATTGAAACGGGCAAAAGGAGAGGCGAGGTTGTGCGTCCCTCCTACTGTGTTCGTTCCAGCTACACCACCTCCAACACGAGAGCTTGTGCAAAACTGGCTCGCCCAATGGAATGCGCAGAGACAAGCAGATGGGCAAGGCGTTTATGGAACCGGGATCAAGAAGAAGCCGTTGCCATCGGATCTGTGCCAAAGATCGACCAAACGAGGAGAACCACTGTTTGCATTCGATGCGAACACTGGGAAATTGATACCTTTCGGAGGAAAGGGCTGTTGGGAAGGCAGTGAGGCTTACCGGGACAGCCAAGGCAGCAGCGGCTTCGTTGATGACGACTGGGGGCATGATATGGAGAGAAATGATGGCAGGGAGGAGAACGTCGATGACATGGGTGATGGGTACGTCGGGAGGCCCGCTTCACCGAAATATGATGAGCATCATGTGTTGGGTACTCCTTATCTTGGCTTGAGGATGCCGCAGGTCAGGAGTTTGAGAGACGCAACGACGACGACACCAGGGGGCGCTGTTCTGCCGATGCAAACCATGCCCAGAGTTGAGAAAACCACAGGCCCCTCCTCTGGGACAAAAGGAGAAGGGACGAAGGCAAGCGGAAGTGTCATTCACAAACATGATACGGGAACTCCTGTTGCGGGACAAGAAGATAGCCATCGGACCGTTTCTTCTCAAAGCAAGCCAGGGGCTGATTGTGAGACAACTGCTGAGCCCAACCTTCCTGCGCGTGTTCCTCCTCCGCCACCCCCATCTTCTCCCAGTCCAATTGCTATCAGCAAATCCACCAAAGGGTCCGAACAAACCCCTGTTGCCCCTGCCAGGACTTCTGTCGATGTCCAAGTTGGTACTACTGTGAGGGCAAAAGACCAGGAGAAGCTCCAGTGGCCATCTCGTAAGTGGCGGGATGTCTCCCAGATTACGATGATGTCGCCGGGTGCAACAGGGGCTGCTGCAAGCACCCCTCTTAGCCAGTCGGGGTTCAAGGACCCCGCAAGCTCAGGTGGCGGTCAGCAACTTACGTTGATGAGTTTGGAGGTAGGTAAACCCACACCACCCACTGCACCCAGTATAAAGTTGTGTGCTCTGTTCCATGTGTCCTCTAGGGAGTGCAAGATCATGTGGCTCTTGGGATGGAGCATAACTCACCCGCCTAGCATACAGTTCACTTCCATATCTATTCATTTCATTATCTGCAGTGACTGCGAGATTGTGTGCTTTTTGGATGGGATGGTGTGGGCGACTCGCGCACAATTCGCACCCATCGGGTTGCGGAATCAGTCGATTCACATGCTTGCATGTGACCATCCCTCCTGATGACAGCAATACATTCATGGGCTTACGTAATGCCAATAATTTGCTAGATTCGGAATGCGTTTCAGTCTGATGGGAACGGGCAATGTCACAGAAAGGTTCGAGGAAGCGGGGATGATGGATGATGAACTCAATCAGACACTGCCTCTGACTTCACAACGTCAAAGGCAAGGCAAAGATTACCAACCAGAGATGATGAAAGGGTGACTAGAGAGCCCAGACAGGACTGAAGCAGGGATTCCTATCCCAGCAGCAGCAGTACAAGTATCAGCTCTACTTGTAACTAAATAATGAATAAAGTTCAATAAACAGGTGGGAGGCACTGAAAAAAAAAAAAAAAAAAAAAAAAAACTTTAAAAAGAGCTCATAAGAGTCATAACTAGAACGGTCTGCCACCGGTGTGTCTTCACAGCAGAGGCCTCAATAGAAGAAACCATGGCCAAGCTGTGAGTCATTGTCATTCATTGGGTACCTGGTCATCGATTACCCATAATAAACAGGTGGGAGGCACCCAAGGAGGAAAAAAAAGAACCCAAAAAAAAGAGCCCATAAGAGTCATAACTAGAACGGTCTGCCACCGGTGTGTCCTCACAGCAGAGGCCTCAATAGTAGAAACCATGGCCAAGCTGTGAGTCATTGTCATTCATTGGGTACCTGGCCATCGATTATCCATGGCCGGTCCAAGTGAAATGAATCCTTTGGGGAGAAGACGAAAGAAGAAGAAATGGATCCTTGGGGTCTGGAGTAGTCACTGAAGAATCTTGTTCAAAGTCCTCTTTTTTTTGTGGTAAGCATTATTGTCCCTGTGATTTTCATTTGTTATTGCGGTTGAGGGCTCGAGGATGTATTTGTATTAACGCTGACCGTCTTTGTTCGTTTGTTTGGCAGGTACATGCTGCGAGCAGAGGTGATTTGAATCCAGATCCAAGATATGATAGTGTGGGTTGCATTGCGATTTGCGTGCACAAAGAGGGACCCGCTGACGAAGGGTTAACGAACGAGTTCACACTGGCACTCGTCCTGGATGAGCAAATGGGTGAGAAGTGCGACAATAACGATGCTGCAGCAGGACCTGCGGCACCCAGCGCCTGTGCAAGGAGGAGGAGGAGGAGGTGTGTTATCAGCTTGACAGCCTCTCGATCTGCTGCCGTAGACGAGATCCAAACTGAAGATTAACCGATGACAATGGCAAATGATTCAAATGAAGTAAAAAACAATCAAATAAAAGTGATAAAAACTATTAAAAAGCTATGTTGGGCCGCTGCCCGTCCTGGCACGCCCGGGCCAGTTGGGCAGAGGGGGGGTCACCCGGCAAAACCAGACGGGTCAAAAAAGAGGCAAGGATCCCAAAAAAAGAGGACTTCAGGTCAGGACTGCGCTTGGCCTAAGCAGTCAGAATCCGGTCTTAACTCCGGTTTCGGTGATGAGTCATCCAGGGGGGTTTGGGGGGTATAAACAGTGACTAAAGGGGTTAAAAGTGTACATTTGGACTCATGTTTTCTCATTTATTTTTTATCTTAAAATTAACAAGGAATTTCGAGGTGGCCCTCAGCCGAAAGTGGTTTGTATTGCAATTTTACACAACATTTTTTTTTCGGATTTTTAAACAATTTTTTTGATTTTTTTTTTCTATTTTCTTAAATATTATGCGCTGGGATCGCCCGCCGCCCGGGACCCTGCCCGGACCCTGCCCGGCCCGGGCCGCCCGGGAGGGTACCCGGGCGACCTTCCCCCAGCCGGGCCGCCCGGGGACTAACACAGTTAAAAAGTCACATTAAGCTCACACTGAATAAACCATGGTTACGATCCGGATGCCCGGAACGCAGTGCAGACGGTCTGGGTCTGGATGTCCGGGTCTGGTGTCCGGTCTAGAGTGTTCGGATCCATCCCCACACCCCCACCCGAAAGAAAGAAAAAAAAATTAAACAGAAAAGGCAAAAAAATCTGAAAAGAAGATATGTTGTGCGCATTTCAATACAAAAATATTTTGGCTGCGGACCATCCCGAAATTCGTACCCAAATCCAAGGGAAAAAAATGAAAAAGTTCTTTTTAATTAAAAAAAAAGGATTTTCTCAATCCGGACGGTCTGGAGCAGTCCAGACACAGATCCGGCCGGATGTGTGGACTGGTCCAGTGTCCGGGTCCGCCGTAACCATGAATAAAACAGTAGTAGCGTCCATCAGTGGGGGGGGGCAGACAGTGGGGGGGGCAAGCAAACAAACAGTAACAAATTTATGGATGCTGCAAAATCAACCGAACAAATTTGAGTTAGCATTCTTTATTCTCATCTTTGTTTTGCTTGCGCTCCACAGTCTTGCCCCCAGTACTTTCTTCTTCCAAATCGAACGTACAGTCATTCTCGCTGCATGTAAAGATTCTAAACCGAACGTTGCTGCAAATTCAGCTATAATGGCTGTTAGCAGTGATCGTGCTATTCGGGGGACGACGGTAGTGCTACGCTGTAAAGCCGTAAAGCACCAGTACACCACATATCAGCCCGCGGGTTTCAGCATGAAACCCGCACCACTTTGGAGGCCACCGATTTTTTTTTTCAACGGCGGGCCTGGCCACGTGGCGCCTCCGAGTTTTGCTTGTGGCGACAAAAACTTTCTGCAAGCCTGGGGCCGTGTACTAGCGGTTTAAAGTAGTTTCTCCAACCCATTATCGACGGAACGAAAGCACTGATGAGTTGGTGCTGTATGGCTAAGCTTGTATGGACGTGGCTATTGTTAAGAACAAGATGTGTGCTTCCATTTGAAGAATATAGCACCAGTGTGTTTTCTGACGCATAGATCTTGTGTAGTCTAATGGCTCATCTCATCTTCTAGTATTTTCTCCCCTTTGACTCTTTGAGTGACCTACTTGAATTCCAGGCTCAGACTACGTCTTTGAATGAAGGCCATTGGAACATGCAGTGGCCGCCGGAGGACATTTTCTTTTTCTTTCATTTGTGTGGTGCTTTAAACCAGCACTACCTCCGAGCCTCTTTTTGCCGAGGGCCGAGGCGGAGTAGAATAGCGCGCTATTTATGTGCTGCTTGAAACCACCACTACCTCCGGCCCTCTTTTTGCCAAGGCGGAGTAGAATCACGCTCCAAGCTTTGCCGAAGCACCAGCGTGAAAGGCCCTCCCACGATTCAGGCCCCAAATTCGGGTCTCAGGGTCAGAGGCCCTGGCCCAAGGAGGCCGAGTTAGTCAATTTCAGAAAGGTCACAGTCGGGTACCTAAGCAGTCTAGTCCAACAGGCACCCAGCAAACAGTCACATCTCAGGGGCGAAAGTCACGGTTCATAATGAAAAGTCATATTAAAGAATCACATCCCACGAGTAAAAGGGCACTTCCACAGGCAAGAGTCGTGTCTCAGAGGCAGGAGTCACAGTCCACAGTCAAAGCCATATGCCAAAATCGAAAAGTCATCACTCAAAGGCCCAAGCAGCAGCAGACCAATGGAAATTCGGGAAGGTTCCAGGCCTTGACATTTCTAAAGCAGACAGGCCGTGGGGATGTGGTACCGGAACCAAGTGAAGCCCCAAAAAGCAGAGGCTGGCACGACTTGAAGTGCAATCCAAGACTACAAAAGGACTGGCCAGCCTCCCCATCGGGCAGATGGCTCATTCGCATGAAGTGTGGAAGTGCTGGTACACTTGTGCGCTATTGTGAGGGGCAGAGCGCTGAATTCAGAGTGCTGCGCTAAGAGGGAGGGAGAGAGAGGAAGAGATAGTGCTGGCAGGGAGAAGGCAGCCATAGCTGCGCCAGTGCAGAGTGTTAGTAGTAGACTATAGAGGGTTAGTAGACATTTCAGTAGGTGTATTCAGAGTCGATCCTTGAGTTGTTACCGAGTGTGCACGCATGTAGGTAAAGAAGACACAGCGAGGACTTAGCGAGGGAGAAGACCAGCAAGGCTGAGAAAATACATAAGAGAGAAGAGCAGTGGGGAAGTGATACTTACCTGAGGGCTTATGCTGGTTACTGGTTACCTTTGGTTTGCGCTGATGAGCGCTGGTGACTTGAACTCTTATTGCTCTTCTATATCTTGTTGGAATTCATAAGCTGCGCTACCTGGTCTTAATCTCTCTGGTCTCAAGTGTGAACTTCGTGTGATTTCATACATGCATGCGGTGTGAATATGTGCGCTCACTGGTGTTGAACTAGGAGGTTCATTGCAAGCGCGACCTTTTTTCTTTTGTTTTGACTGCCGCCGCCATCCATTTTGGTCCGGTGGCGCCCGGCCTCCGAAGAAGAGTCCAGTATAGGTTGAGTCACGACTTGGCCTTTGCATCTGAAAGGTAATGGTGGTTTTCACAAGTTTCCAGTACTGAAAAAGAAGTCAAAATTCTTCACATAGAACACAGTAGAATAGTACAATACTAATGTGTACTATACTACTGTGTGCTATGTGAAGAATTTTTGACCCCTTTTTTTTTATTCTGTTTTTTCAACTTTTTAAAAACTTTTTTTTTCTTTCGTTTTCTTGTTGTCTGGATGTATTTGGACTCTTTTGGAGCTTTTGCTGACGGTTCTGCCCCTCTCACAAAGGGTCCATGACTCCATGCTAAATGGATGTTCTCTCCGTATCATTCCAAAGCAATTTAAATTTCAAATGGATTCATTCACGGCGATTATGTGGTATAGTTGCACGGCACTTGTTTATTACGTACATTTTCTTTGCTTTTGCTTTTTAAAACATTTTAAACCACTAGTGCGAGGAATGAGCCCTCGCGGGGCCCTTGTCAGCCATGCACGTGATCTGGGCTGAGGCCCCCAGCAAGCCTGGGCCCGCCCTAAGTGAAGGCGGGCCTGAATATCTACGTGAGGAATTTTTCCATATGTGGGTACTCAGACAGTTGCAGCACGCCAGTTGGTTACAGGGAAACGTGAGCCTTCTCGCTCTTTCCGGAAACATGGGCTGTGCTGTACAGTTGAGCCCAGGGCCTGGGTGGTTGCGCCCTGGGCACACGCAGTGTGAGGCCGACACATCACGCAGCGGCCACGGACGAATGAGAAAGCAGCATTGTCGTCACACATGAGCCGTGAGCCAATGAGAAAGCGGTGAACACTTGGAGGCTGCGCGGTGGCCTGAATGTGCCTAACTGCACGAGGCCCAGACCAAGATGGGGAACTGGGCCTGGGCGTAGACACCTGGGGCCCAACCGAAGCTACTGGGCCCCCAAACACGTCTGGCCAGGCCAGCCAGCCGCGACACACTTTCCATAAAGGAAAGTGTGAGCCTCTGCCAGGGGCATTCTGGCCTTGGCAGGCAATGCGGACACGCTGCTGCGTTGCTGCGCTAGCATCTGCATGGGCCTGCTGGTCGGACGCGCGCACGGGCGCAGAGGTGAGGGGCGCTGCAAGGGCAGCGGACGCACAGCAGCCATAGCCGGGCTGCAGGGGCGCAAGGCAGGTGATGGCGAAGGTGGTCTTCAGGTAGGAGGCGCATGCTGTGGGAAGACGAGGGGTGATGAGAGGAGGAGAGAGAACTTACCTGGTGTATGCTGGTGGTCGGCGTTGGTGTTGACGTCACGTACGTTGGTCTTCGACTTCTGAGTGATCCAGTTACAAGAACGTAGATAGGCTAGATAGGCTGAGTAGGCTAGGCCGGGCGCTGGGCGCCAGACAGTAAGTGCAACATTGGATGCAGTGTTGGTGTGACCAGAGAGTGGCGACATTGGCATTTGAGTTCGTTGTATTGCTCTTATTTGGACGGTATCTTGGTGCATTGCACTCTCTGCTTGGTTCATGACTATCTGAGCTTCTTCGCGATTTTGCAGCTTGGATTTCTGTCTATCGCTCTCGCTCATATTCATTGCACTAGTACCTTTGCCGTGTGAGAAAATAGCGGGCCTCGGGTGGGCCTCTCGACCTTTTCGGAGGTGGAAATGAAACGATGGCCGCCGATCAGATTTATCAATGGCAGTCGTCCATGGGCCTGGCCTCCGAATTTTTAGGAGTTTGGGAAAATTGCCACTTTTCCCTATTTTCCCAACACTGCTGGAGGTACTAGTGGTTTAAGTCTTTCAAATTATCGGCGAAGACGAAATTAATCCTGCGATTGCAAACAGATGTCGAGATGATGCAGATTCAAACTTCTCAAAGGCCGTCAGCAATCACTTGGGGCAGTTGGAGGTGAAAACATTCAACTGAGTTAGCAGTATACTACTTTAGTCAATTGAATCAATTGATATATACACACGGGGCATTCAGGAGGTCATGGTTGTATTCACATTGGCCTCATGTACCTACCTACCTGGGCATACTCGGTGCCCGCCATCTAGAGCTAGTCTGTTGAACTTCCCTGATAGGCATGAAGCAGATACTGCAGATGTTTGTCGGGGGAGGGGACTGGAGGAGAGGTGCAGTGACTGGTCCAGTTGGCATGGTCACTGACGCTACCGGCTGACCCCTGGGCCAATATCACCCATCTGCAGGTCGGCTGCAACCCCCGCATGTTCCCTCGTTGGAGGCATGAACATGGAGGTGGCCGCTACGGGGTTTTCTGTACTACTAAAATGAAAATAGAAAGGCCTGAAAGGCTGTATTGTCAGTTCGACAGAAGATTGAACTGGTCGGGCTTAAAAAGAATTCGCCTTGTGAGTCGTTATGACAAAAAGAAAAAAGACTCAAAAGAGAGCAAATCATACCCTGCGTTATGACAGAAGATTGAACTGGTCGACTGAAAGGCTGTATTCAGGGAATGAAACTGATGGCCAGGGATTGGGTGGTTACTGCTGTTCCTTGTGCTGTTGACCAATGTTGCATACTCGTGAAACACAGTCATAAGTATGGCGCAGATTCCCAGAACCGACCAGATAATACAGAGTTGATACAAATACAGCGGACGACTTGATACACATGGACTGACCCTGACCTGACTCGGACTGCAACGAAACACTCTCAACATGCATCAGTGGTGTGAAAGCCCTGGCCTTGGACACGGGAGGGAAATGCCAGGGTCTGAGATCATACACGGACAAATGGAGGGAGAGGAGAGACGAAAGGAGGAGGAGAGCGAAGATGACGTCAACACCAAGTTTCCAAAAATAGTATCTTGAATGTCATAAGTAGCGCAAATCCGGAATGTCGTGAATACAGAGTCTCACAGTGTCCCAGATGTCGACCTCCCAATATCCAGATACATCTCCAGAAGTAGATGAAGTCGGATCCCCGAAGTAGTCCCCAACCGATGTCTCAATGTTACTATCTCAACTGTCATCAGAACTCGTCACCATCTTTGTACTCAGAGTGGTCCAGTAGAGTAGACTTAGACCTAGATGGTAGGAGGAGAGAGAGAGAGAGAGAGAGAGAGAGAGAGAGAGAGAGAGAGAGAGAGAGAGAGAGAGAGAGAGCGGCAGAGGAAGAAGAGGGAGGGAAGGCAAGGCCTTCCTCCCGGGTACCTGATGTGGTAGCTATGGCGCTGCAAAGGCTGGCGCGGGGCCGCGGCTGGGCCGGTGGCTGGCGCTGCTCCAACCGCTGCGCTAATTCCTCCTTGCCGCTGAGCTCATTCCCTCTTCGCTGCTCGTGCTAATGCTGAAGCGCTGCGCTAATCCTGCTAACGCTGAAGCGCTGCGCTAATCCTGAAGACTAACGCGTAGACTAACCTCCTGTCTACTAACCTACCGACTGAGGCTGGTACCCAGCTGATATAGTGCTGGGTCGGCCTCAGTCCTACTGAGGGCCTTCGGGTCTGGACTGTTGATCAGGCCCAACGGTTCAGATCCGATTTTGAATCTGAATAGTGGTGCCTAAACTGCACCGCCAGCCAGTCCTACCGATGGACCGGTATCTGGCCTAACTAGCCGTTGGGTCTGGTGGGGTCTAAACGAGGCCTACGGGACCCTGGACTGAACCGGCGGTTCCTAGGCCTACCTGGACCTAACTGGGACCGTCGTGACCCGGTAACTAGGCCTACCCGTGCCTACTAGAGAACCGGGCCCTAACTGGGGCCCGTGTGGTATCAGTATGCCGCACTAATGTCTCTGTTTACTCCAGCATTTTCCTATTTCACTCTTTTATTTTCTTGCATCAGTTTTTCCCCTCCATGTGTGTGTGTCTATATGTTTGTGGAATGGAATGGAATGGATGTGCAGCACCGTCATGTCTAATGTCTCTCTATGCTCCGGCGTTTTCCTAATTCACTCTTATCTTTTCTTGCATCAGTTTTTCCCCTCCATGTGTGTGTGTCTATATGTGTGTGGAATGGAATGGAATGGATGTGCAGCACCGTCATGTCTCCTGCGTGCCTTCTTCTTAAAGGCAATTCTGGCCGTGCGGCGCTTTCGACGTGCCGGCCTGCCTGCTGCCAGTTTGGCATTTACTACATAGTATATACTCACTGGGATTTATTTATTTTTCTCAGGAGAAAACTGGGCATCATCTGGGACTGGTGGTTTTCTAATCTCCTGAACTGAGTATGCCAACTTCAACTTGAGTTAAATGCTGCCGTTCGCATGCTCACTGATAATTTACTCTTTTTCTTCCCCTTCTTTTTCCTTTCTTTTTCCTTTCTTTTTCCTTTCTTTTTCCTTTCTTTTTCCTTTCTTTTTCCTATGTTTTTTTCCCTTTCTTTTTCCTTCTTTTGGTTTCTCTTTTAATATCCCACTCACTTCATTACCCCTTAACCAAGAACGAGCAGTGCGTTCATCGACGGCAAGCGGATGTCGAAGCACCCATCGCCTGGCATTTGCACTGCAGAATGGAAGTCTCCACTCCACAAGCAGGCTGATTCCCTCCCCCCCCCTCTTTTCCGTCTATATTTCCTTTTTTTTTGCCTGTTCCTCTTTTTCTAAAAGGTCGACGGCCTTGAGATATCATCGTGGAACTGACCGGCCCCAGGTAATTAGGGAATTCCGTTCATCTAGTTCCCTTTGGAGTCGAACTCGGGTTTGTATTTCAACACTTTGTGGGTGCCAACTGACCAGCCCGATAATTTTCATCAGCCACATTTGAAGCACCGATCACCTGGCATTCGAACTGCAGAAGGGGAGGTCTCCACTCATTATGCAGGCGGATAATAATGTACTAAATATAGTCTGATTGCTGTTGATTGGTTGCAGGTTTGATGGCCTGAACGGTATCAACGAAGTGAAGTACCTTTCCACTGAGCTTGCTCTAATGCATTGCTTCATATCTGAGGTTCGCCGATGCGATCCAGACATGTTGATTGGGTGGGAGATACAAGGGTCCTCGCTTGGCTACCTGATCGAACGGTGTGCTAAGCTTGATTTGGGGCTTTTGAAAGAGCTGTCGCGTACTCCACCTCAACCTATTCCTCAGACCTTTTTTGCGTTCAGGTCGGTTTCTGACGACACTGGCGGAGCTGGCCGTCAAGGAGAAGATACAGACGACGGAGCTGGCCAGCAAGGAGGAGATACAGACGTCAGAGGTCAGGTCTCGCGTAAGAATGATATCCGGGCCTTGGCACCAGATGACATGGCAGGCTTGCCAGAGGAGATGGCAGAAGCAATCAACAAAGAAAAAACAATCGGCGATGATGATTGGGGCAGAAACCACACAAGTGGGATTCTCGTCACCGGCCGGATCGTTCTCAATCTTTGGCGAATCATGAGGGGAGAGGTGAAACTGGGCATCTACACGTGCGAAGCAGTGGTGTACGCCGTTCTGAAACGGCGTTTATGGAAGGTGTCGAACAGAACCCTTAACCTGTGGTTCAAGAGAGGGGCAGCAGGTGGGAGGTGGCGGTGCATCCAGCACTACGTCGAAAGAGCACGGCTGAATCTCAAGCTGATGGAACAACTGGATCTGGTGAGGAAATTACTGCCCAAGTTCTGTTGACGGTAGCTTCCTTCCTCTGGGTTTTACCTTTTTTTTTTCATGCTAATCTTCTCTGTATCGTTCCAATTTTAACGGATGTCCTGAAGGACGGTTTTACCTTTTTTTAATCTATGAACCGTCTCTCAAGTTATGCCTGCCATCCTTGCACAGTGGCCATGCTGCCGCCTTCACCCCAATACAACGCCCGATCATCGTGGCTGTATCTAGACTGAGAATTGCAACAAATACAGCTATAATGACCGGGTGTTCTATTCGGACGAAGACGGTAGTCCCTCTGTATCCTTCCAATTTAAACGGATGTCGCAGAGGACACCCTGGGCTCATATATCTATTTGTCATTGTCATTAACTTTTTTGCCTGTGAAAAGATTGGGCATGGTGGAAGGGGAGGGGGAGGAGGAGGGGGGGGGGAAGTATTGGGTCATGACCGCAGGATAATTCCTTTTAATTAACTTGGACCATTACTTGATTTGTGTGTTGTGTCATTGATTTTTTTTTTTTTTTGAAGTTTCCCTTTGTATATTCATATCGCTGTTACGATCCTGGCTACTTCCGAAGTGCAAATTCACACGGAAAGACAAATGCCATATTGGGTCATGACCGCAGGATTATTTCATTGATTTTGTCCTTTCTTTTTAATTAACTTCGAGTCTTGGACCATTACTTGATTTGTGTGTTGTGTCATTGTTGAGTGTGGAGGGGCTGTGCCATTCTTCTCTGTATCAGTCCAATTTTTAATGCATGTTCCGAAGGATCATGTGACTAGTTTCGTAATTTGATGTCCAATTTGATGGTAACTTAATGTTGTTGTTGTTTTTTTCCGTTCGAACTTCGAAATGTATTTTTGCTGTTTTCATATTTTGACCCTACTTTCTGAATTTTATCAGCAATCAAGTTGTATTATCTTCTTTCTCTAACCTTGTGCACTCTGCTGTCTGTTCTAGGTGAACCGGACATCTGAGCTTGCGCGTGTTTTCGGGATTGATTTCTTCTCGGTCTTTTCTCGCGGGTCACAGTACCGTGTGGAATCCATGATGGTGCGACTTTGTCACACTCAGAATTATCTCCTGATATCCCCCAGCAGGCAGCAGGTATGTGTCTCTCTCTTTGACATTGAGTGAGTTATGACAGGATGTTAGGCATGCGTATCAGACTTGACCGTAACTCAATATGTGTATCTCGTTGACCGGAGCTCGGCATGTTTGTCTGATCTGACCACAGGTCAGCATGTCTACCTGACTTGATCAGAATTCAGGTCACATCAGGTAGACATGCTGACCTCTGGTCAGACCAGACCAGGGCCCCCAGGGGTAACTTAATATGGGTATCCAAGTTGAGCAGTACCTTTCCTTGGCCACAACATCTTTCGAAGTATGCGGTGGCAACCTTACGGCTCGAAGAGCAGACGCTTCGCGTCTGAATCCCACACGAAGGCGCGAAAGAGCGTAAGAATTTGACGGTCTTTGCGGATACCGCTAAGTCGCTAACTTAAATTTAATAGTATTTGAAAATAACTTGTTTCATTGTGATCCACAATTGGAGAATCTAAAAATATATATACATAAGAAAAGACATTAAGAAAGAAAATAAAATAACAATCATTGATTTTGAATTTTTTATTAGGAGAAAAAAGATGAAGATAGCAAAACACCACGATCAGGTTGACTGCCATCTTCGTCCGACATGGTATGTTTGTCATCCTCTAATTGATTTTGTGCGTTCGTTTGTTGCGTGTGCAGGTTGCGACACAGCCAGCAATGGAATGTCTTCCTCTGGTAATGGAGCCAGAGTCAAGGTTCTATACGAGTCCTGTTGTGGTCCTCGACTTTCAATCACTCTACCCATCAATGATTATCGCCTACAATCTTTGCTTCTCCACTTGCTTGGGTAGAATTGCAGCTGGCAATCCGAAGAAACTCGGGGTGACATGGCTTCGTCTCCAACGAGGTCTGCTGGCAAAGCTTCTAAACAACCTTACGATAGCCCCAAATGGCGTCATGTACGCGCCTTCATCGGTACATTCTCTACCCGCACACGTACCTTGACAATCACCTTGGTCATCTATCCCCTGAGCCTGCCAGCCTTCAATGACTACCTTCTTCCCCGGAACACAATGCCCAGTCAGTATGTCTGCATCTCGGGCTGAAATTGCACGAAAAATTATTTCAAAAATATTCATACTAAATACGGCTATAATGACCAGGTGTTGTGTTCAGGGGTTTGGGGAAATAAGGAAGTGTCTTCATTTCAGTATCATTAATTGTCAAGTTCCCAAGCGTTGCCTTCCCTTCTCTCCCCTCTCACCCTTCCCCTGCGTCCCCCCCCCCCCCTCTTTCAACCCCAGCACACACACACACACACACACACACACACAAACCCATCCACCCACCCCATGTGTTGCCAAGTTCAAGTCGTTTGCTGAGTAGTTGCGGTGGTGGACCGTCTGTGTCCTGCTTTCAGGGCACTTTGTGCCGAGGGGTTCGTGTCCCTCTTTAAGGGAAGCGGAATGAGGTGAATTACCACTTCGTTGCGATTTCCAGCTTCACCATCCATCGTCTGTCGTGTGCACAGCAACCCACAAAGACTGGAGTCGAGCTAAGGATCTTTTGGCAGGCAGGTAAAACCACTTCTCCAACAACCCCTGCGCTGTCCATTTGTCTTGTATTATACAAGTACCGGGCCAAAATCAACAGTGCCCAGGTTCGGTACTGCTATTATTTTTACCTCAGCCCGGCACTGTAGATTTCGGGGTCGGGGAAATGCGACTTGCAGTCTGTCAAAATAGGTCTGGACAGAGTGGTGGTGTCAAAGTAACAACACACCATTAGCAGGAGGACGGGGGAGGTGTGGAGGGGGGGGGTGGGGGCAGGATAAAAAATCGGGAGACATCAATCGGGCAACCAGTGGTGTGGAAGGTGAGGGGAGCGCAGGAGAAGTGCATTCTGCAATTGCGAAAAAAAGGTGCAGGTAAGCCCACGCATGATCTCGCTTTTTTTTTTCTTTTGCAAATTCTTTTTTTTCAACTAGGGATAATTTGCGAAATACCCCCATAAGTTGAGATATATTTCAAAATGCCCCTGAAAGAAGACCAGAATGTGCTTTTGTTTTGGGCCGAAATCTGTGTGTTATTCCCCTGTCAGGCAGGAGCGCAAATTCGCAATCTGGACCTCGACGTTCGGGCCTTGGCCTTTTGCAATCGGGCCTTTGAAAAGTCGGCAAGTACCGGGGTATTTTGCAAAGTTGGATGGTACCCGGTAGGGATATATCGCAAAGATGGGGGGTTCCAACTGATGCGAGGGGTATTTCATTCTTTTTTTTTTTTGGTCAGAGGGGCATTCCGCTCTACCCACATCTTTCAGGGGCATTTTTGGCATACATCTCAACTTATGGGGGTATTTTGCAAGTTATCCCTTTAAACTACCCTATATTCTTCTCTCATTATATATCTCTCCCTACCTGCCTACCTATCTACTCCTAGTCCAGGTGCATTTTTCAGTGAAGCCTATCTATGCAAACAATATGGGCGGCCCTAAGAGTTATGGGTTGATACCGGCCGCATTCTGCTCTGTGCGGGGAGAAGCGCCCAAGCTCCTAAGACCTGGCATAGGCTGGAAAGAGCGTCACAATCACTTCCACAATCAGCCAGGAGGCCCAAGCCAATCATCTCTGCTGGTGAAGCCGAAGCATACCCCAGGAGGCCGGAGGAATGGAAAGGATGACGTTGGGTATCTAACCCATGACCTCCTGAGTGCCACTTACATGCTCAACCAACTGAGCTAGCCCACTTGCTCGTACTTTTTCCCTGTTCCATCCATCCCCATTGAGTCAATGCCCCATTTTCCTTCCATTGCAACCCCCCCCACCCCCAACCGCTTTTGGATAATCTTGTCTGTTGTATCCTTCAGATTTCAAGCCACCTGTACCTCCCAGCCTCTTTTGTCCAATGTGCATTTTGGCCCGCCCCTCACATTTCCAAACTGTTGCGACTCAAGGCCTACCAGGCGCTATGCAGCCTTTCCGCACCCCCCCCGTGATAACTGGCAGGTGCCCTCAGAATGGGCGTGGATGGGTAATTGTGTTTTAAATGGCATCCAAATTGCCCGTGCTCCTTCTCTCTTCCTCCTTCACCCTCCCCCTTTCTATGCCACGTGCTGGATGGGTGGTAAACTGGTACGTTTTTTTTTTCAACTTTCAAAAAGGCGTCTGCTGGATCGGATTCCACCGAATTAGGTTCTAGCAGGGGGGGATGCTTTTATCACCCTTCGTATTAGGGCCTGAAGTGTCTTCAAAAAAAAAAAAAAAAAAAAAAAAGACTGGCAATTGGGGTTGCTGTTGCGCACACATGTGAATGACTTGTTCGAAGGTTGAAGGCACCGCCGGTAGGTATGGTACTTTCACCAGTAACTAAGGTCTGTTTTGTCCCCCTATCGGTGGAGGAGATGCACCAGGAACAATCAGCCACTGGAACGTCGTGGTGGTCCTACTTCCTGTGTTTCAATTCCCTCTCCTCTTCTTTTGTGTTTGCCCGCATGTGCTCGTCCAGGTCAGACCTGGCATTCTGCCACGTCTGTTACAGGAGATCTTATCCACACGCATCATGGTTAAGAAGGCGATGAAGACTTTATCACCAGATCAGCGCGTTCTACATAGGGTAAGTCCTCCGATGTTCTACCACATCCTTTCATTTTCCAACGTGATGCCCACCTATACCGGCTTCGGCCGAATAAAACGCCCGTCATTATTGCTGTGTTTGGCACGACTTTCGCTCCAAATGCAGCGATAATGACCGGGGGTTCTATTCGGGCGAAGACGGTAGCTGAGTTGGTAACACACATGAACTGTTGAGATACAGAATCAAGTTCGAATGCAGATACTATCAGATGAACAGACATTCTGAATTACGCGGGGCCGGTCAGGTAAATGATGATATCTCAAAGCCATCGTCCTTCTGAAAAGAAAAGGAAAAAATGAAAGATCGAGCTGAATGATCGAGCTACACAGCTCGGTACAATGAAAAGGATAAGTTCCAATAAGTTTCAGCTAACAGCCAGGTACAGTGAAAAGGGTAGTTCGAAGTCGGAACCAGTTTCATATATTTCATAGACTTGCATCTCTTGGGACATTGGCACCACCGCGGTCCACCGGGTCATTTTTGTCGCACATGAGATTCTTTGGTCCCATCAAGCAGTCGTCAGAGGAAGTCAGGACTTTGATATGATCGAGAGCCTTGGTAACGAAGATGGCCATCTATGGCACCTGTTCTGGTGCCCATCTCCTGTACAAGGCCCCTTGCCTGGTACCAGGACCCTTGTCCAGTACCAGGCCGCTCCTACGGTGTTTCCTCCCCTCCCCCCTAAAGGATGCTCCTTCGTTCAACTCAAGCAAATGAACTGCGAGAATGCAAGAGAGTGTGCATGTTAATGTTTCGTTTGGCAATTTTTTTTATTTAATCTTTTTTTGTTGTGTTTTGTTTTCTTGATAAAACAGTCCTTATGGATTGGTTTTACAGAATTTTTTTAATAAATTGCTGCAGTGTTGCATACCCCGACGGTCGGCGGCCCTTGACTGGTCGGCTGCTGACCAGACGACCGGTCGGCTGGTCGGCACCTACCGGTCGGGGGTCGTCGGCACCCTGCAAAAAAAAATAAAAAGGGTCCAGAACCCCTAATAACCCCACCAACATCCCCATAGCGGCCCCCAATACCCCCGTACAACCCCCC